AAACCCCTCTTTACTCCAACATATACAAGACATGTCTGAGCCACCTAATTTGTCCCTTTTTTATCTTATTTATTGTTGTATAAACAACAAACGATTATATCACCATCTTCATTTCTGCTTAGTATAAATTTTAATTCCACTTGACATTGTAGTTTCTATGAAACTTCTAATGATTCAAAGAAAAAATCTGGATCATTAAAAATTACTTTTGACCTGTTATTCTATGTAATATCATAACTTCTCTTTAAATTTACAAAAGAAATAAAAATAAAAATGTTTCTTATCCCATCTATTTTACCATGATCACACATGCATCCATTAAAACATGCTCATTTACGTCCTCCAAACATTCTAGTTTCTATGGAAACATGTTAACATTTTGAATAAAAAACTCGAAAAGGAATATAAACTGAAGTGATTGCCAATTTGCCATATTCTATGAAAAGGTGATATATCTCCTTGCATACAGACTTCTTAATGTATGAATAAGTGACTTGTTCGGCAAACTGACTTCTATAGCACTCAACAATATTAAGAAACAAAAAGAAGTTAAAATTTAGTCAATTATAATGTCTGATCGTCTTGTATTAGGCACCAAACATTTCCGGTATGTCTAAAAGTGTCATTAGTAGTAAACATCTTATTCTCAACTAATAGTATTCAATGTCACCTAAAATTTTCATTAAAATGATGAAATAAATACATAAAGTACAAAGAGTCAAAGACCAACCTTGGTGTCACCAGGAATTGAAACTTCATCTGCCTCAATTATCTCTTTAGCAACTAAAACATCTCCCTCTACACTTATTCCAGTAATACCTGCATTGTTCACCTGCAAAATTTTCAGATTTTTTAATATTACGATTCATAATAAAAAAATTTAATTGTAGGAATTGACTTTAACCATCTCATCTGAAAATCGATTAATGACGAATGAGGGCAAGCTAAACCTTTTATGGCATTCGACGGTCATCATTTGAGTGATCAAGCCCCTGAGCTTAAAAGCAGCATTATTGCTTCCCAACATCAATTAATACATAAAAATTAACCATTCTTAATTTTATAATCTGAGAAAAAATCTCAACTAAGTTGAAATGTAGTTTGGAGTGAACTATTCTACTACTAAGCTACTAAGGAACAATAAGCGATTTCTTAAGCATGCATTGGATCCACGTTAATTGCATAATGAATAGCTAGAAGTGTCAATCAACGTGGATCCAATGCATGCTTCAGAAATCACTTATTGTTCCTTAGTAGCTTAGTAGTA